CGTCACATCATGACCGATAGTGTTTTCACCGTTTATTCTCTTATTTATTCTATTAAATTAGATATGAGTCACGTAGCCTATTGTGATATTTTTGTTTCAGACGATCCAACCAGTGAGAGCACACGGTAACTACCTTCTTTGCTCCATCTGGGGTAACGTATTGGTGAACTCCATATTTACCATCTTATTGGATGGACTTACGTCAGGTTTATTCGCGGTCATTGGTTCCACGTTGGCGATCGTACTGTTTGGCGAGATCACGCCTCAGGTAGGGTAGTTGTATTCTTTCTCACAGATTTATGTTAAAATATTCTAGTCATGCGAGAGTTTGAATGAGACACTGGGAAAAAATTATCATACTCATCCAAACGACATGTATAAATTAATAGACATAGGTGTAAGAAGATGTCCACTGCTGGAGACAGAAAGAATCCTATGTGACCATTTAACTTTATACTTCATCAAATTTGTTAAGAATTTTATAGTGTTTCATCAGACGCATTTAAAGTACGTACCTATGGACTCAATTATGCCAGAACCTTAACTTTTAACACGCTTATATTAGCTTGGCCTGTATGTATGTATGCCATGGAATCTTTGAGCATAATTTTCACCAATTTACAGAAGTTTGATGAATTTGAAACTTCGCACACGTATCAAGGACCCCTGACAATGCAATAATTTGATAGCAGTTTCCCATTATTTTTATGAGAAAAATTCTGTAAAAAGCAGATTTGTTAATAAAAAGCCACGAATTCTATATGCCGCTTTACGAATATTGAAATTACAAGCCTCTGTAGTTCCAGTGGCAGAGCACTGGTCTTGTAAACCAGGGGTCGTGAGTTCAAGCCTCACAGGAGGAAGATTGTGGTATACCTTTTTTTTATTTTTTTTAGCACGCTTTTATTAGCTTGACCTGTATGTATGTATGTATGTATCTGTGTTTGTACGTATGTAACGCTATCTTTGAGCATCATTTTCACCAATTTCCAGAAGTTTGATTAATATTAATGCAATATCATGACATGTCCACAAAAAAATAATTGATAAATAGAACTAAAAAATGAACAATAAATAGTAGTTTAAAAAAACAAAAAAAAAACACGCTTTTATAGCTAACCAAACTAAGAAGTAGAAAGGTAAAAATAATATTTAATTAAAAGAGCTTATATTACAGTCGTAGATGGTCGAACAAGCAATCATAATTACTGACCTCAAAATAAAATTATTATAAATTTAAGTTATTACATAATAATTCAGTTCACAGTAAAAAGCGTGGGGTGCTTGATATTAAATGTTACGTTCTTCTGGCAACTATCTATGAGAGGAGAGTTATGAAAATGTATTAAAATGCACCCCACGCTTTTTACTCGAATTAAATTATTCTGTTTGTAACTTAAATTGTATTTAGGTCATTAATTATGATTGATTGTTCGACCGTCTACTACACTCGTTGTAATAAAAAAATATTTTCTACTTTTTAGTTTGGTTAGCTATAAAAGCGTGTTTTTTTATTTTTTTAAACTATTATTTATTCAGCCAATAGCCATTTTCTTGGAAGTACGAAGTCATCTACTTGACGCTATTTTCTGTTTTTTTCAGGCAGTGTGTTCCCGACATGGCTTGGCTGTTGGTGCGCATACCATCTGGATAACGAAAGCTGTAATGGGTATGACATTCCCCCTTTCTTATCCAGTTGCCAAATTCCTGGATTGCATTCTAGGGGAAGAAATCGGCAACATATACACTAGAGAAAGACTTAAAGAGCTGGTGAAGGTGAGTGATTTTTGCGATGTACTGCATGTTTTTGCGTATTATGACCAGGGGCGTAGCTAACGCCGTATCAACGATACGGGGCCTCCAATTTACAGATGCCCCCACTTTCAAAAAAATGAGTAAAGTGTTTTTTGTTTGTTGAAGATTTATTTAGCATTAATGCTACAAAATCAATTTTGTATAATTATTCGCTTACACATTTTTCTTCAATCCATTTTCTGTAATTTTACATACCTGTCTATTAAAATTACATCACTATACATTTTGAGTATTCATAAAGTGATTTTTAAATTTCACCTTAAATATTTTTAAATTTGAACACTGTTTAATATAATTATTCACTTTATTAAATTCAAATACTCCCTTTTGAAATGCGGATTGCTAGTTATTCTGCTATTACAATTTTGCACATGAAAATCTATAGTGCCTATAGTTTCGTAGTTATTAGAATGACTATTGAATTTTGTGAAGTTTTCTAAATCTAATGGTAATAAATGATTTTTTAATTTGAATATGAAAACGGAAACAATGAGACATGAAATTTTCACATTCAACCACTGTAGTTCTCTAACACAGACTTAATCCTAGCATATTTGTTTTTATTTAAAATGATTCTCATAGCTTTATTTTCTAGAATTTGTACTTTTGAAATATGCTTTCATTTACTGTAAACAAGATGGATGAGCAATGTAAAAAATGAAGAAGAATTTCTTTGGAATACATACTAAGATTATTGGAAACTCTATAGAAGTAATTTATCTTTTTTGATATTTTTGAAATAATGTATTCATAATGGTCGTGAAACAGTAGTTTACTATTACATATATACCCATATATTTAAATGATTCGATTACTTCAATTTTTTCATCATTCATGACGAACCTAATTGTATTGACAAACATTTTGTTTCATCGGTGTTAATGTTAACCAACATTATAATCAATTCATATTTTTTTAATATCATTATTTAACAGTTCTAAAGCAGTGTCCAAATGCTCAAAATTTTAATTATCAAGCGCTAAACTTTAGATTATACTGCTAGGTATAGTAGCATGCTTCCTATTTGCAACCTAGATTACAACTGCAACAAATGAAAGGTTTTCTAAATTAAAAGTAATGAAAACATTTTAGGACTTCTATCTGGCAAACGTTGATATCAAGCATGGTACTGTCTGGGGTCTGACAATTTCGAAACACTAAAATCGTCTTCCGCTATGGATGGTTTAATAAAAAATTCTGGAAAAAATAGTGGCAAGTAGATTGACTCTGAACTTTCCAAGTATTCACTTGTGGTTATTTTCAAATTTTTCAAGAGTCAAGATAAGCCTTTAGCTAAAAAAACAAAACGTTTTGGGCTTCACAATGTTTTTGAATATGCCATAACTACACGTCAGACATTGAGTTGACTTCAACCGGTATACCACAGGGTAGTAAACTTGGGCCATTTTGTTTGTAGTTTTTAAATGATCTCTTTTTTGTAACTAGTGGTGACGAGAGCAACCATAAAATTATCTGATATGCTGATGACACAAATCTAGTGTTGGGTGGGACAAGTGTAGAGGACCTAACTGCTTATGGGAATCTCTTATTCAGAAGTGTGAATACCTGGTTTCTGAGAACAAACTAGTGCTGAATAAATCCAAACTGATTCAACATTATTTAGAACTAAGCAGAGTAATGTCGTTAAGCCACAATGCATCGATATAGATGATCATCAACTGCAGTTGAGTGAAAATGTAAAAATTCTTAGGCATCTATATTGATGAATTTTTAGATTGGACAAACACATGTAAACTGGTTGTTTTTTTTTTCGAGGTATAGAACTTTAAGTTGGCATTACTTTTGAAGATGGCGACCGATTTGACAGCTGTCAAGTGATTTATTCTCAGATTGGTTTGGCAATTCATCATGAATAGACTCACGTCTGAACAACGCTTGCAAATTGTTGAGTTTTATTTCGAAAATAATGGTTCTGTGCGGAATACGTATCGCGCACTACGTCCATTTTATCGTCGACAAAATCATCCATCAGAGCAGTTAATTCGATTAACCATGGAACGTTTTCGAACACGTTTACTCTAATTAATACGCATTAATACTAATTTAACTCGCATCCCCAGAGACGCCGTACGGTGCGTACAGAAGAAGCTATTGCTACTGTAGAGCGTAGCATTGAGGAAGACCCGAATGAGTCCATCCGCCATCGAGCACAGGAATTGGATCTGTGTCTATCCACTTTATGGAAGATTTTGCGGAAGGATCTTGGTTTGCGTGCTTACAAAATCCAACTAGTGCAAGAATTGAAGCCAAACGATCATCAAGCAGGCGCGTAGATTCGTTGAATGGTCCAAAACGAGATTGCCGTTGTTCCCGATTTTCATAAGCGAATTTTGTTTAGGCGATGAGGCGTCAACAAACAAAACTGCCGCATTGGAGTGAAGCTAATCCTCAAGTCTATGTCGAAACACCGTTACACTCCAGAAAAACTTAATGTTGGTGCGCTTTATGGGCTGGTGGAATCATTGGTCCGTACTTCTTCAAAAACGATGATGGCCAGAACGTTACAGTCAATGGTGTTAGGTATAGAGCCATGATTACTAACTTTTTCATTCTTGAATTGAACAATCATGATGTCCAGGAGCTGTGGTTCCAACAAGATGGCGCAACATGTCACATAGCTCGTGCTACAATCGATTTATTGAAAGTCACGTTTGGTGACCGCCTAATTTCACGTGATTTAACACTGCTAGACTATTTTTTCTGTGGGGCTATGTAAAGTCATTGGTCTATGCGAATAAGCCACAAACGCTTGACCATTTGGAAGACAACATTCGCCATGTTATTGCCGATATACGGCCACAAATGTAGGAAAAAGTCATCGAAAATTGGACGTCCAGATTGGACTACATCCGGGCCAGCCGTGGCAGTCATATGCCAGAAATCATATTTAAAATGTAATGCCACAAGATTATCTTTCGAATAAAAAAATTGCATGTCAATCGAATAATCCATCGTTGTTTTATTGCAATTTAAAGTTCTGTACCTCTAAAAAAAAGACCCGTTATTAGAACTACTGAAGAGGCTTAATTCCATTTGCTATGGTTTTAGGGAAACATCAAGATATCTAAATAATTCGAGTATGAAATAACTATGCTAATTTTAAAAGTGTTCTAAAGTATGGGATCATTTTTTAGGGACGCAATAGGTTTATTCAAAATTTTTTTGTTGTTCTAAAAAGAGCAGTATGTCTGATAAAGGAACTAAATTTCAATGAAACTTGCAGGATAGTGTTTAAAACTGAAAAAAGCATGACTATGTTTGCCATCTATGTGTACGAGTGTTTTATTTTTTTTCAAAAATACAAATTTATTTGAGCTTCAGGTGCAAACTGTTTATGATACTCGAACAGTCAATGTTAATTATCCAGTACCCTAGATTATCCTCCACAGAAAAAGCCCTATTTATATGTGTTTAAACATTTTCAATAATATACCAAATGAAATTAAGAACATAAACAGTTAACATAAATTTAAAAAGGTCATTAAGCAATTTCTAGTACAGTCAGAGAGTCCAGAGCCTTATACCATAGATGGTTCTACGTGAGTTGTAATAATTTCAGACCGTAGCTGCTTTAATATATATAATCATGTAACAAGGAAAAAAAGGCTGAAACTACTATAGTTACGGTGATAGTGACGCAACATTTCATTTTGTAGTGGCTTTACAATTTCTGTAATATCAGTGTACAATTTGAAATATAGATTATTATTATTATTAACCTTTAGCAATCAGAAACGATGAGAGTAAATTTTCGACATTTCTAAAAATTGTACCCTCTCCACAAAGATGTTTGGTTACATTAAAAGATTTTCAGAAAGTTGTAAAGCGTATAAAAACAAACTTTGGGATGATCTGAAACCAATTTTAATTCTTACTCATAGCACCAGTGCCTTTTAACGATTTTAAAAATTAAGTAGCGTTACCTACTGTGACCCTACGTGGAGTGCTGTAGACATCGTAAAAGAAAACATTTATCTGGATTTCTAAAAGTTGCGTCCCAACCCCAAAAACTCTGCTACTCCTTGCTTTTCAAAAAGTTTTGAGGGTAGGTACATTTACAGAAAGTTATCACTTGCCGATGATCCACACCGTCTGACTGGCGGGCGCCCCTGGTCAATAAGTGTTAATTTATATTATTTAATGCAATCGTTTATGTTTATTTTGTGAAAATTTGTACTTCAACTTTTATCCTCCATTCGGGGTTCGCCACATATGTGTGGGGCCCTCCACAAATTTTGATACGAGGCCTCTGAGAAGGAAGCTACGCCAGTGATTACGACAGTTTATTCTCTTTTCTATTTAGAACATACGAATGTTGGATTGGGCCATATACTGTATAAACCTTTCTTGGTGCCAAATATATGACCGTCAGTGGGTTGGGGCTGTCGCAGAGTACCTTCATACTTGAGCTAAGATGACTACCTTTTCCAACTGGAAACGTATAGGGCTACCTTTTACAATACCTTTTCAGTTAATTGTGAGTCTCTGTACACGTTCACAATACGCTGCTTCGCCGTTCATCCTTGTGAACGCAACGGTATGAAAAGGGGTACAACGGGGCCTAAAGGTTAGATACGTCGTTCTGTCCATATGATCGGTTAGTCAAACCATTATAATACCAGAATACTATAAAATAACAATAGGAGGTTTGTTTAGCATCGCTTCTAAGAGCAAAAGCGTGCAATGTGTACAAGGTTATTTTACACACACACACACCCTTCTACCCTGTGCGGTCTTTCCACCACCACTGTTCCAGGCAACCTCAAACCCTTGAGGAGTGGGGGGAATAGCAATTGGCTCCTCCCTCCTCTCCCTCCCGAAGGCCTGGAGTGGCGCTGCGTGGTTCAGGCCGCTGCGCATTCCCCGAGTGCGTGCTGCCGAGCGAGCTACCCCTTCCCCAATTTTGCCCCTTTTTCCCGAAATTGACTCGATCGCGCACGCG